GTTCCTTGAAACCTTGTGAGCCTAGCACCCCAAGTGTGATGCCTCAAATGCTTCACACAACACCAAATGCTCTTGGAAGAACTTATGAGAGAATACTCACTTCTTCAAAATCGGCCAAGCCCTCTTGTTTCTTAGTGTAGCCGATTTTGGGTGGAGAATATGTTACTTATATAGTGTTGACACATCTAGGGTTAAACCCTAATGTGTCATGACTCTTCATTTCCATGACCCATGGGTTTGTAACTCCCATGGAGCATCCTATGGGTGGAACCCAACTTGATAGTCCATGGAGCCTTTTAGCCCACTATACAAGATATGGATGATTTACTTAATCAACCCATATATTTAATTAGTTATCTTTTGATCACTTAATTAATTCTAAATTAATTCTTGATCAAACTAATCAAATAATATTATTAATATATTAGAACTTATAATATATTAATAATCTCCAAGTGTTATTTCTCTCATTTAGTCTATCCAATTGCATGGTGCCATGCAACCCAAATGGACCATGCCGGGTCGGGTCAAGTACATACCAGAAATAGTTATGGACTTAGACACCTTATCCAACAATAGACTCGAGGGTGAAATAGAACTAGTATAGCCTTGATTTGACGTCTATGTATGGTATGAGGTATTTTAGGGAACTCACTATGCTTTGTGTTACAGTTTTCAGTTTATGTTTTAAGTACTTTCGGTTCGAAGGGGAAGAGCTCGGGATGATCGTAATGTACACACCATGATTTTTAGTTCTACTTGACTCGGATGTATTTTTGGAAGATTGTTGATATACTCTGATTTCCTTTACGATTTCTATACACAATGTTTGGTTGATAGTTTTATCATTACAAAAACAAAATTTTTGGTTCTAATTTTTTTTGGACGTTATAAAAATATCAACATATCAAACTATAACCAGCATATCACTTATACGTACACCATACACAAAATTACATCTACATTATATAATTTTTTTCCATTATAGCATTATACTTTCCAAAAATTACCAAGCTACAAAATACCAACATATCAAACTATAACCAACATATCATTATAACATTCTATTTTCCAAATACAATTAAAAATACATCATACACAATATTGCATATACATTATAACATTGTACTTTTTTTATATTTCCATTATAGCTCTTTACTTTCCAAAAATTACCAAACTACAAAGTACCAATATATCAAATTATAACCAAATTACATCCTACACAATATGGCATATACATTATAACATTGTGCTTTTTTTCCATTTTTCTATTATAGCATTATACTATACTAAACTAACAATTACCAACATATTATTATAACATTCTATTTTACAAATTAAGGTAATGATTATTATAGCATCCTATTTTTTTTTTTTCAGTTTTCCATTACAACATTGTACTTTTCAAATACACTTAAACTAACAATTACTTAGGATTATTATGGTGGCTATGTTGGTGGTTGTTCTCTATTGTATACAGACACAACCATAGAAGGTTTACGTTTGATGCCTTTGATATGGAATCGTCGAACACAAAATAGTTTTTCAAAACAATTTTGTATATCCTTTGGCGTTAGACTGCTGGCTTCGGAAGAAGCTTGAGTTTGTTGACTGATCTCATGGAGTAAAACATTTTGTATTTTCAAAAAATGATAAACATCATAAAAATTAGATTACTAAATATCCATTAACGATATAAACACTTATATGAAAATACAAATTAACTACTTACGTATTATTGCTCGACTATATGACTACTAAATACCCATTGACGATCGGTATTAGCCTTACAAATGCTTCGATTCGAGTGATGTTCTATTTAACATACAAAATTAGATTAATTATAATTTAAATAAATAGTTAAATATATCATAACTTACTTCTTTGAAATAGACATTACTATAAGAGCACAAACCCCCTTTGTTTATAACTTTTTGTTGTACATGGACTCCTTTGTTTGACGTCGAACGCTTTAAAAATTCGGGCGTTTAAAAATGTTTGACAGCTTACACCAAATTTTCACGTGACATACCCTTGGGGTGATTAATGTCCTTGGGATATCTGTAAGCCCCTCGACATTCTGAAAATAAGTATGAGCTTTACTTTTCCAGCATCTGTAAAAATTTGTGGAGTCGCATTAATGCTCCGCAACAATTGAGCACGTTCAGTATCCAAGATAACCTTATCCAAATCAAACTTATTCTACAAATACAAAAAAGTTATCTAATTAAATACCAATCACAACTAGACTTAAAATATTATCCAAGTTACTTTTAGATGCACGACTATGACATTCTATAAAGTGGGAGGAAACATTATCCCAACTAGATACGCTCAAATGGATGTTCATCCACATATACCTCCAAATCTTATGTAAACTAATTACCACATTTCCCGACAGGAGAATATATGAGCTCCCTGTCGAAATCCAAATCCACGGGTTTCCTTTGTTTTCCCGTATCAGTTTTGATAGATGAATGTTTTTTGATAGACCTCTTCTTTTTTAGGAAGCTCAATTAAAAAATATAATTAAAAATATTAGTCCTGACAGCCTATAACAAATGAATAAAAATAGCTAATAAATATATCATAATAAGACTTACAATTATGTTCGTGTTGTCTACGACCAAAGCCTACTGGGGGTGGTGGATCCCTGACTCCATCAGCTCCATGTCCTAGGCCCATAACATCCGACATCATGCAGAAGAGTATCGTCCAACTAAACCCCATATATAGCCTGCAAAATTACAAGATGTAAAATATAGAAACACAATATGAATAAAAGTCAGCCTGCAAAATTACAATATGAATAAAAGTTAAACATATTACATATACAAAAATAATACACTTTCTATTAGAGCATCCTACTTTTTATTTTTATTTTTTTCATTATACTATTGTAGTTTCCAAATTGCATATACAAAAATAATACTTTCCATAATAGTATCCTACTTTTTTTTTTCATTTTTTTCATCTATAGCATTATAGTTTTCAAATTGCATACAAATACACAAACTACATTTATAATTTTCTATACATACAAATACACATATAAAAAATAATGCTTTTGGTTATAGCATCCTACCTTTTTTTTTCATTTATAACATTATAGCATCCAAATTGCATACAAACACTAACTACATACATAATTTCTATACATACAATTACACACATACAAAAATAATACACATCCCATTATAGCATCCTACTTTGTTTTTTTTTTTCATTTTTTTCATTATAGCATTGTAGTTTCCATCCACATACAAATATTTAAAAAACCTACATATTACACATATACATGCATCATACACATAAAAATACACATCATATATACACAAAATCAACAAATTATATATATATATATATATATATATATATATATATATATATATATATATATATATATATAAACAAAAAAAAACTTTTTTATGGTGATTGTGATGGCAATTTCCGACAACAAAGTGGTGGTGGAGGTGGGGATCTTCAAATTCCATAAAAAACGAACTCCAAGATGTCGAAATTCCTTCAACACACATGTACATTCAGTGGGGAAGAGGAGAAATCAAAAAGCAAAAGATTTAAAAAAAAAAAAAAGAAAAAAAAAAAAAGAAACTCACAGCAACTAGTTGTAACCGAAAATGGGGTGGAATCACCATTGTAGAACGTCGCCGGTGATAAGGTAGGTCGCCGATGATGTTGTTTGGGTCGCCGGCGTGTTGGACGTCGATGGAAGCTTTGGAATTGGTTAAAGATTGACGCAATCGCAACAATTTGAGTTGGAAGGAAAAATGGAAAGCAGGACAGATTTGGGAAAGAAGAAATGGTATTGTCTGCAATGAGTATTAGCGGCGACGGCTAGCAATTGCGGCGACCAGGAGCGTAATAACGACGACAACATTGGAGGGAATTTTGATGGTATTTTTTCGGGTATCAGCGGCGACGATGTTGCCGGTAAAAACATTGTCGCTAAAGGTTGAAGACGATGTGGATTTTCTGTCGTTGGATTAGGACTAAATAGACAGCTATGATTTCATCTTAGCTGTTGACACGGATTGATGACGTGTGAGCATTAGCGGTGACGCACACCTTTATCGACGAAAAGTAATGCGAAAGTTATGTCGACGCTAAAGGTTTGCGTTGCTAATGCTCAAATTTTTTGTAGTGTATTTTACAATCTACTATAATAAATGAATGTTTTTTTGTCACATGTCCTCTTCTCAATCATTTGGACACATGGTATTTTCTAGATTTTTAAAATTTCCTATTTTCCACTTGTCATTTTATTGTATTTTTTTAAAATTTCAAATTTAATGTGTAAGGTAATACATATGTAAAGTATTTATTAGAAATAATTTATATATGTAATGTAATCAATACATTAAAGTCTCATTAATTTTAATAATTCAAATTTTTCTCATTTTTCTTATAAATTCAAACTTTTCAAATTGTTAAAAATTTTATATTTGTTTTTTTTTTTAATTAAACTCATTTAATACATGGGTCTCACACTTAGTTTATATAAATTGAAGATAAACTTATGTATTATATTTTGAACTTTCAAGCTAAAATAAATGACTAGTTGCTTTATATATGAATAAATAATACAATCGTATAGTTGAAAACTATTTTCATATATAAATCGATATAGAGTATAATTATTCTAATAGCATTGATATTGATAATATATAAATTTTATATTATATGACAGTAATATAATAACAAGAATATGATATGATAAAGAAAAATTGTGATGAATTATAATAGAGAATCTATAACATAAAATAAGTTGAGCGTTCACTTGGTATACACAATCCATCCCGTTAATTACGGCATTTTCAGGGAAAAAAACTATTCCAAGTATAAAGAGTGTTTGTTAAGAATAAAGAGTCAACTGCATGGTTGGCAAGGACATTTCCACTTGCTTTCAATCTTTCATGGTCAAATTTCAATGGAACTTTTTTCTAAATCTGGTTTTCTAAATTCAATGATTTGAACCAAGAATGGTGTTTTATTGCCGATGTTTCTCGTTCGATGATGACAGTAGGAAGATCGCAAATGAATCCAGAACTCTAACAAAACCGAGGTCGTCAGTATCCTCAAATTTGGCCGGAAAACCAAACAGTTTGAGGGTTTTCACAGTCGCAGAGCTCAAGGTCGCAACTAATAATTTTCGCAGTTCTTGGAAGATCGGAAACGGTAGATATGGAAGTGTATATAAGGGTATGGTCAAGAGTTTGGAGCATCCTTTTGATAGGATCCAGGTCATTGTAAAGCACCTCAAAGGAGTAACGAAGGCAAGTTTCTCTCCTTCAACTTTGACTTTGCATCATGATTAATTATATGTCTGAGTTTTATTAAAAATAATCTTGATTATATTGCAACAGGATCACAAAGATTGGTTATCGGAGGTTCATTTTCTTGGGGTGGTTGACCATCCAAACCTTGTAAAACTAGTTGGTTATTGTACCGAAGAAAATGAAAGAGAAATTACGCAACTGCTTTTAGTCTACAAATACATGCCTAACAGAAGCGTGAGGGATCATTTATCTACAAAATCTGAAACACCTCTCTCATGGGACATGAGGCTGAAAGTAGCTCAAGATGCTGCATGTGGCTTGGCATATCTACATGAAGGAATGGACATTCAGGTATATATCCAGGAAAATTAGGGGAAAAGTAGTTTAGAAATTGACATGCTTACAAACAAGACAGTAACGTTGGTTTTTTGTAGATTCTTTTCAGGTATTTCAATTCTTCCAAGCTCCTTCTAGATAATCAATGGAATGCTAAGCTTTCGGATCTTGGGGTGGCTATGGTAGGTTCTCAAAGAGGAGACATTGATGACCATGACCTCATAGAAACAATGGCATATGTGGCTCCAGAGTACATCCATACAGGGCATATGTCATCCAAGAGCGACGTGTGGAGTTACGGGGTCTTTCTATATGAACTTATCACGGGTAGGCAACCATTCGATAGGAATCAACCTAAAAACGAGCAAAAGCTAATAGAATGGGTGCGACCTTACGTACAATCCAAAAATCTCCAGCCTATCATTGATCCAAGACTTGAAGGTATATATTCACTCAAGTCAGCACAGGCGTTAGTCACTATAGCTGATCTTTGCTTAAAAAAGAACCCGATGTCAAGGCTAAAGATGAGTGAGGTCCTAGAACTGGTTATTGGAGTCACTGGGGTTCCATCACAAGTAATTAGTTCTCCACCAGCTCCCAGTATAGAGCCTGTTAACCCATCAAAAGTAACCAATCCTGCATCAACTTCCAAGAGTATAGTCCCAGTGACACGGCTTTCAAAGCTCTTGAAATCTTGGTTTAGAAAGGTTTGTTCTTGTGTATGCGTGCGAATTAGCAAATGACATTAATGCCGCCATCAACCAAATAAGCACTTGCTTTCTGTCTCTTGGAGCAGTGAAGGCGGCGAGAGGTAAATAGACATTTCATAAACACATATTTATGTGTTTGCATCTTTGACATAAGTGAACAGAACGTGTATAGCCCTTGTGCATTACAATTGTTATCTTTAATTCATCATTGGTCTATTTGAGTTATACATTGATCTTGATGTTCCATATTCATTTGTATGTTAATCTGGAAATACGCTATCAAGTTTGAAGTGCATTTTGGGGTTGAACCCAATGTGGCTCCATTCATTCGGCTCATATACATCGATGGGCCTTGCATAAGCGCCCCAGATCTATAACTTCATATTTCTGTTATATATGTATCGATATTGGGCCATGGTCAGTCTCGTGAAACGAAAGAAATTGGATTTGAAATTCTTATGAAGGGTATAGGATTGATTAGACGTTTTTTTTTTTTTTTGAAAACGGCGAATAAGAAGCATATATTAGAAAAGATGAAATCATAGCAAGAAGCTATGCAATAGTCAGGGATCAACAAACAGAAACATAAACTAATGTACAAACAAAAAAAAAAAAGCAAGATGTCAAAATGGGAAGCAGCTCCAATCTACCCAACATTTTCCAGAATTACCCCTGTATTTGCACCATTCAAACGCTTGTAATATAATTGAATCCGCCGTATTAGTAGGAGAGTGATGTTTTTTGTGAAAGATTCTCTCATTACGGGCTGACCAAATGTTCCACACTGTCGAGTATAAGATTGCATTGAGTACCTGCCTTTTGTTTGAGCAGTTCCCCCAGGAATTACCAAACTCATTACATTCCTTGATACTGTCAAATTCAATGTCCTGTAGAGCACACCGTTTGAGAATCCAGTACCATACCGTCTTTGCAAAGTTACACCCGAATAAAAGATGATTTGTTGATTCGATTGCGCTTTCGCATAAGTGACAATTCAAGTTATTTACCGAAATACCCCTTTCATTGAGTGTTTATGCGGCCGGAATTCTGTCAAGATTGACCTTCCATATAAAACATTTGACTTTAAGGGGAATGAGTTCCGACCAGCGTATCAGTGTCCCAGTGAAATGGCTACCACAATCGCCAATTAGTCTCCTCATAATATTAACCATATAAGTTCCCTCTTGGTGTAAGTTAAATCGAAATCCAATTTTTGAAGAGAATTGAAACTCCTGAGAGGCGAATAATTGATGAAACGCATGTAATTCCATAAGCATATTGTTGTTAGGGGGTTACGTTTCCATCTCCACACAAAACCATCCGCATTAATCATGTCCAAAAGTGTGCACTTTTTAACCGACTCCATGTTGTACAGATAAGGGAATCGATTTTGTAATGGGATATCACCACACCAGATGTCTTTCCAAAAAGAATTCGTAGGTTGAAGCTTGGAATTATAGAGAATATCTCACCTGGTTCGATGTTACAGCTCGATAGACTTTTAATAGCCTTGTCGATATTACACCAAACACCAAAACTATCCTTCCTGCACAAAAACGTGGAGGGTGTACTTTCAAATTATGAATACTCTCAATAACTTCCGCCCACAGTTTCCCTTGTTCATTTTTGAGTCTCCACCACCATTTGATTAAAAGTGCAATGTTTTGTGCTAATAATGTGCCAACTCCTAAGCCACCTTTTTCTGTTTGTCACAATCTTAGATCAATCCAATCCACCCAATGAATTTTCATTTTGTCTTCTTCTCCACCCCATAAGAATCTCCTTCTAAGTTTTTCCAAGGATTCCAGGACTCCCTTAGGTGCTTTAAAAAGAGAGAGAGGTAATACGTGGGGAGGCTACTGAGGACCGATTTAATTAGGGTCAATCTACCACCAAATGAAAGTGTGTTCGTTTTCCAACTTGACAGCCTCTTTTGAAACTTGTCCAAAATTGGTTGCCAATTTTTATTTAGTGTCATATTCACTCCAACTGGGACACCCAGATATGAAAAAGGGAATAAACCTCTCACACATCCAAGTGTTATCGCCATAGATTGGATTTCAGAGTCAGGAACACATATGCCAAAGAGTCTAGATTTATGAAAGTTGACTTTTAGTCCGGACGATATATGGAAACACTTGAGAATACGAGAGAGATTTTTAATACTAACTTGATTCCAATCCCCCATAAATAGGGCATCATCAGCGTAGAATAAATGGGATAACTCTGTGGGGTAGCTTAACACCATTAATCAGGTTTTTCATCTTAGCACCTTGCAATGTGACATGTAAACCTTCCATGGAGAGTATGAAAAGAAATGGAGATAGAGGGTCGCCTTGTCTAATGCCACGTGAAATTTGGAATTCATTTGTTGCAGAACCGTTTATCAAAATAGATGCCCTTGAGCTTGAGAGGCAACCAAAAATCCATGTGCACCACTTATCTCTGAATCCCATTTGTTTCATTATTGATTCTAAGATACTTAGGATACACCCGAAACTCCATGTTGGATTGATAGCCTCATGATCAAAATCCAATGATAGTTGAAAGATAGTTGAATCCCATATACTTAGGATACCTAGAAAGCCCGCGCCACATCCGTCGAAAATCACGAGTATGGACAGATTTTACTTACATTAAAGTCGTTGCTAAAATTAATAAAAATTAATTGTTTTTAATGATAAATGACTTGTCGTCCTAATCATCATTTGTTTTGATATCATCGAATATAAAGCATTGACCGATCTTATATAAGTTCATATGTATGTTTCTTGATATGATCAGAATATGAATAACATCATATTAGTTTATGTATAGTCATAGACCCATTTGTAAATCTTGTAGTGTACATTTAGCTAGGTATGAACTTTAAAACCGGAACTGGTTTTCCTATATTATAAGAATCGGGAACCGGACCGCCGGTTCTAGCACCGGTTCCGGTTCCGGTCCCGGTTTACGGTTATTTTTCAAACTAGAACCGGTTGAAATTTTAGATGATATGTTATATTCAGGAGCTCGTAAATGATTCAATATTTAACCAAATTATGACTTTTTACATTCTAAATTGAAGTACAAACACTAAATTACATGATGGAAAAACAATCAAGTCATTCTTACTTCATATGAGTGAGTTATGCGCATTTTAAATCGGGACAAATTCCAAAAAAAAAATGTTGAAACATAAAATACGCAACATTGATATGCTGTCTTCTGAGGTCTATAAATGATTTATTATCTAACCAAAATATGTGTTCTTATAGTCTAAACTGAAGTACAAACACTAAATTACATGTTGGAAAAAAATGAATTAATTTCAACGTCATATGAATGAGTTATGCACATTTAAAAAAATAAGACAGATTCAGAAAAACCAAAAAAAAAATGTTGAAATAGAGAAAACACAGCATCGATATTCTTTCAGAAACATCCCAAAGAAATGACCCAATTTTTTTTTTTAATTACTAAAAACACCATAATAAAATCATAAGGTAAACTCGTACGTCAATATCTCACAACAATAATAAAGTGTTATAAGTGAACTGAATCAAAAATGTATTAGTCACATCTATGAAAAACAAAACAACTCCCAGGACCAATGATACTGTGGTGTGTGTGTGCGATGCCATCAACCCGAGCTCTTCCCTTTTCTTGCGGAAGTACCTGAAACCAAAACTGAAACTGTAAGCACGAAGCTTAGTGAGCTCCCCCAAACTACCACATACCAAATAATACATATAATCACATATTGGGCCTTGCCCACTGCATCGGACCGAAGTCCGGAAACTGCATCGGACCAAAGTCCGGAACTACCCAGGGCCTTGCCCTCTGCATCGGATCGGGATCCGGAACTACTGAGGCCTTGCCTCCTGCATCGGACCAAAGTCCGGAACTACTGCATCGGACCGAAGTCCGGAACTGACTGCATCGGACAGAAGTCCGGAACATACTGTACATAGCATCACATAAGCATATCAACTAACATGAGTACATACATAGCATACTACATCGGGATGTAACCCGGAACACATAACACCAAATACTGTCCGAGCCACGAAGGCATCAGACATACTAAAATCTGCATCGAACCGAAGTCCGGATACTACTGCTAGCTAAACGGGCCGGCATTGTGGCCTTAGACCCGTTCCTACTGAAGGGAAAACTCACCTCGTGATCTGGCTGCTGAGTGTGTGGCTCCGGGAACTATCTGTTGCTGCTCCGGTATCTCTTCGGCTACAAATCCACAATTACACTCAATCAAATTATTAATAATTGCATTGGGGTAAATGACTCCTTTACCCCTGGCTAAAGTCAACTCTCCTGGTCAAAGTCAACTTTACAGTTGACCTGACTCGCCGAGTTGGGCCGCCAACTCGCCGAGTCCCTACTCTCATTTCTCACCCTACTCGCTGCTACTCGTCGAGTATGGCATCAACTCGACGAGTTCCCTTTCGAATCTAAAACTTCAGGCAATCTGCATCAGACTCGCCGAGCCGTATGAACAACTCGACGAGTTGTTCTTCGAGCTAAGAAGATTGCCTTGGACTCGCCGAGTTGTATGAACAACTCGCCGAGTCCCTCCATTACTGAGTCTAACCACAACTCACTGAGTCCACTCCATCACTCACTGGTCTCACTCGGCATCACTCAAAAAGGGAAAAATCGGGGACTCGCGACTCGACTCGCCGAGTCGTTCTTCCGACTCGCCGAGTCGCTTGCATGCAGCAACTCAAAACTTGATTCTGCTTGAATCCAGTGCATAAACTTATAGATCTGGACTCCCTTAACTCGATTAGCACGTAAAGATTCTATCTTTACGTGCCCATATGCATTCATGAAGATAAAATAGCTCAAAAAGCATAATAAAGGCTAGATCTAGGGTTTCCATGCAAAGTATCTTCATAAAGGCAATAGATCTGGGCTCTGAAACTTCTCAATGAATAGATCTAAGGATATCTCGACTTATTAGGGCATTCATACAATCATAAGGCTTGGGAAAAGCATAAACTAGATCTAGAAGAGTTCTAATGGAGGTT